TCACCGGGAGCATGCTTTTATATGATATTTTCATGAACGTGGGAAAATTTCTACATTATAATGCTTTTCCATAACACTCACATGGCTTCCGTGGCGCAGTCGGCAGCGCGCCAGTCTCATAATCTGGAGGTCGTGTGTTCGAGCCTCACCGGGGGCATACTTAAAAGTCAAAAACATTAAGCTTCATAATGTAGATTGCAAATTCATCGTCTTCACAGAGAAATGAGGTAGTAGCACTGATATCGACGGTGTTTAGATGAGATGTCTAGTGTTCAATTGATAGGATTCCTCATTGAGGAAATAATGGATTGCACTTAAGAACGATTCAGGCATAATTCTAATGTATGGCAGAGAAATTTGCTTAGTTTCATGCGACTCTCTCAGCTTAAATGTCAAGGATTGAATCTGATGTAGTGCACTTAAGCTTCGCTTGTAGCTAGTTAATGGTGGACCGGAAATGTTTTGTTAATGATATGTGAAATATTTCAACTACACCTGAGTGTTATAGTGACTTCTTGTGTCATTTTGCATGTAGCTATATTGATGCTAATAGCTTTTATCTATAAACGCATCGCAGATTTTGGCCTAAAATCAGGCATATGTATTGTCTTAATTTGCATAGTTAGCTTACAAGACTTGTGTTCAAAGCTCTCGATAATGAAGCTGCTCGCTTATCACCTATATTGTTGTGTTTCGTGTAGCTGATGTTTTTTTCTAACGTATGAAATTCGAAGGTTCACCATTAAACGTTGATAAAAGTATTCGGCCTGAAAGGAAGAGTGGGCTATTTTTCTAGAGCCAACAAAGTTTTTTGGCCATCGGCTCGTATTCCAGATGTGGCGATGCATCCGAATCATGTCAGATTCTAATTCAGTAACATAAGTAGTTGTAATTGTATGTATGTATACTGTATGATGCTTTGAATATATCAAACTTATCCATCTATGGTTGTCGACAGCTGAGCATCAAATTCTGATGGTGTTCTTAAATCGTCTTTTCATTTTTCAAGTAATTTTCCTCATAGTAGTTAGCACGACGTGTACCGTAATGAGTCTTAATTCTGATCATCTGGCTTTAAATAAAGTATTTTGCATAATGATTTATGTCCTAGGAAAAGTCATATAGTCGTACCATATCTGTCTATGCTTTTTCTCCCCTCCATTAAAGTTGAGGTATTTCTCTTAGCATTTGAGGTGGTATTGTTTATACGAGCATCGATTAAGTGGTTATAATAAAGTTGTTACTATATATTGATAGTGTTCACTAGGTGAGGATTGTAACTACAACATTCAACATGTATCCATTTATTTCATTATAATTTTAGTGGCCTACTCAATAGATTAGTGGTGTTGTCGGGTTAAGCTGAAGTGTTAGAAGACTTATAACGTTTTTCTTTTTTCTTCTTTGTAAGCAATAACTCAATGTTGTTATACAATGCTTATAGAATAATAGCTAATGTATTGGCGATGTCGTCCTCCTCAGAGTCTCAACAAGTCAAACTTGTTTCCCATTCTCATTCTATACCAAATCCCGAGATTAAGACATAGCTGGTCTAAGAACAGGCTCATAGTTACTTGTTAAATTTGTTAGCATCAAGGGATAAATGTCATGTAGGAGGCTTAGGAGTTGAATGCTCAAAGTCATTATGTGATTATGGGACGACAGCTATGTAGCCCTAAGTTATTCCATATAAAATGTATGGAATAACAAAGAAAATACAATGAAGAATATAATCGGCTCGTAACGGCATAGTAGATCATACAAGAAAAAATGAATAATTACGCAAAAAAATAGAAATGTAGATTTAGTAATGTAGAGAAATAATGTCTTGTCATGTCTCATGTTCTAAGTTCTGGTGGGTCAATCGATCGATCGATTGATCGATGGAAGTCAACACGTAGGAGACGAATCGAATTGGTATCAAATTTTGTACGACTATGTTTTTTCCAATATCATTAAAAATATGAAGAATACTTGTTGGTTTGTTATGAAGATATCGCTGACGTGCATTTATTTGTAAGCATAGCTTTTTCTTGTTTTGCGGTCTGCCTAATGTGATTTTTTTTGTTCTATTGATAAAAATTTCAAATATTAAGCTTCACCACCATGTCAAAGCTCTGTCAAACTGCTAAATTCTGCTTGAAAGTTTTAATATTTGTCATCAGACATTAGCTGTTTGTTGTTAGACACTATTTGATTTGAATTTGATACCCTCTTTGTACTCCCGTTGCTCTGGTTTTATTCCAATTTTTTTCTACCTCCGTATTGTAACTGTGACTCATTGAATAACGATAGAATATTCGTAGTTATTATGACTGGATACATTGCGCATTGTGTTAGAAAATAAAAGAAAAACAGATTTTATTCAAATGTTTCCTATTTTATAAAGTATTTTTATTTTGCTTCCATAGATTGAAATGAGTAAATGTGATATACCTCAAAATACTAAGCTGACTTGCTTCTTCATAGTAATGCTTTGTGCAATATGTTAATTACTATTAAGCATGTGTTCTTTAGTTGTTAGAAAAAAGCAAATTAACTATTTTGAGGGATTTTTGGAGTTCCAATTTTGACGATTCTATTAATGTTGACTTGCTTGATTTATATTTGGCCAATTATCACTAATAGATAGAGCGTTATTAGCATTAGCTTATTAGCAAACTCATGGTACAGGCGCCATTATTCTCGCACAATGACCGTATTCGCTTTTACTTTTTTTTTCCGCAAAATTTTTCGCATTCAAAAATTAAACATTATTCGGACGGTATTTGTCTCTGAGACTACGGATAGAATCATTTCTAGTGTTGCGGAAGACGTACCAACACCTTCACGTATCTACGACAGTACTTCATCTGTGCAGACGTTTGTGACAGCTCAATGGGATCCGACAACTGCATCATATGCTGGCGTTAGCAGTACTGGCGACTATCTTTCAATTCGTTCCGATCCCTCATGGACACATTTTCGACCGACTTCCGTTTAGTCAAATGAGTCAATAATAGCGCGATGTTCTCATGAATCACTTAATACCAATGACTTCTATTTATATAACTCAGATGAGTGTTCCGTATTCAGCAATAATTTTCGTTTCTGTGACGTCTTTTACAGCAGATTAATATCCTATTCCGGTGTAACGCTATTTCGGTGAAGCTTAACTAGATTCCATATCACAAATATGCAAATGATATCACATACCTAGCTAGAAAATAACCTTCTACTAATGTTTTTTGATCACATATTCTACCATTAGGCAAGAGGAAACAGTTAAAGAAATTTGCAGGCACAATTTAGTATGAAATGAGTCCTTAAAATTAGTGGATATTCACATATAGAATGCTTCAGGACATTATAGATTAAAGGTCTTGACCACTTATGAATTTCACTGGCTTACTGTAGTCGCTAAAATCTTCAATCATCATATCAGATATGTACCAAATGAAATCGTCTTGGTAACTTTATTCATATTTCATTATAGTCATTAGAGTTCCATTGAGTTACGAGGATTTGTTTATATGAATATTACTCTCATTGTGTTTTCTGCTTCAATTTAAACAATATGGTAGCTTTTCAATATGTAATATTATATTGAAAAATCAATAATTGATGAGAAACTTCGAACCACGGTGACACTGCTGAAATGCCTTAAGGTATTATCCTTAATCTGATCTATGATTTTCATTAACTAGGATATTGATGACCAATTTTCGTAACCATACCAGAACATAATTTGACTAGATATTTAATACATTATTGATTTTTATGAAATATTTCCATCCACTGTCTCTGAACTCCTTGCAGATTCACTCATCTATTGATTTTTTTTTCTGGAACTGCACTTTTATTTATTATTGGTGTATTTTTTTTTCTCTCCAATACTAATACACCCAAATATTATTCATAATTTTTTTGAAGTCATTGCTCGCTCGTGCTCACTTCTGTAAATCAGTTTGTGTTTTTGTTTGTGTTTACTTTTTTCTTCTTCCTAAAGCTAGTCAGTTAACCAATGTGATTCTAAATGTCCTGAGACTAGAGCCATTTGTTTTTGTATTATTTGATTGATAGTTATTTTTTTCGTTTTATTTTTGTTCTTTCTAAGTTTTCAATATTTTTTTATTTGTTTATTTTTCATTTTACTATATTTTTAGTGCATTTCTATATTTTAATTTTATTTTCCTCATTTTAACTCGATTTATTTTCAGTTTAATTTATTGCTTTTCATTAATATTTACTATTTTTTATTTTTTGAGTGTTAATTTTAAAATTTTCGTTTTAAAGTTATTTCACTTTATTCTTTTCTTTCTCTTCCTTTAAAAATAATTTTTGTATTTTCAAATTGTTTCAATTTATAAGGTTTATTATTTTAATTTATTTCATTTTTATTACTCTTGATTTTATTTATT